TGTCACAGTGTCTGGTTGTGGTGCCCTGGACTGGCCACTTGAGGGCGCTCTCCCGTTTCAGTGTTACATGTGTTGGACTCCATTTCCCATAGTCCCTTGCCTGTCGTTCCTGTTCTGATCATGATCACCTGTTAGTAATTTACTCATCATCCCATCACTATTTATACCATGCTCACTCTGTCTGTCTTTGCTGCAGTGTTGTTTGAGGTTACATCGTGTTTTCTGTTCCCTGTGTTTTGGATTACCTTTTTGTCTAGTTTTTGTTCTGTTCTGATTATTTGTCACTTTAATAAACTACTGCATTTGGATCTACCTTGCTTTCTCCTGGCATTCCGTGACACATTAATCCTGTTGCACCATAACTTTAAATATCGATTATGGATTAACTTTAAACTTAATGGAGGTTTAAATAAAATAAAATCGAGTTGGCAGAGAGCGAGGGGCGTGGCGGGATGCGGATCCGTCACTCATGGTGCACCTCGGTGTCGGACAAACAGATGAAGTGAGGAATATTTATCAGCAGCGGTCACGGTGATAAGGCAAGCACAAGTGATCGCAGCCACGCCTCTCATTTCTCATGCCCGCTCCGCGTCCCTGCTGGGTGGCAATCAAACGGGCAGGGCAGCGCTTTTCACAAGCGGAGATCGCTTCTAGACGAATCATGTAATTTTTTTTTTTTTCTTATCTCGGTTCTTTTGTCGTAAGTAGTGTTATTACTCCATTAATTTATACTAGTCTATATATCCAGCGCCCCTTAAACGCAGTCTCTGGCTTATCGCCAGTCAAGCACAGGCACGCTGCAGGGACGCGTCTATAACGACTTTGATCTGATCATTAAGTCTTTCCGAGTCACAGGGCTCAAGTCCAAGTCAAGTCTCGAGTTATTGCTGTCAAAGTTTAAGTCGAGTCTCAAGTCTTCTTTAATTAGGTCGAGTCGAGTCGCAAGTCATCAAATTTGGGACTCGAGTCCGAGTCAAGTCTCGAATTGTGTGACTCGAGTCCACACCCCTACTAAATAGTATGTGAGATTAGAATAAGTGTGTCCCAAAGCATAGTATGTTCTAAAGAGTATGCCAAAAGTCCCCGGATGGTCTACTATTTCAGGTCGATTTTTGAAGTGTGGATCCGTGCACACTCTAATGGCTAAAATTGCCCACAATCCATTGCGCTTTGGCGAAGGATTCGGTCCAGAACTACAAACATGGATAAAAGGCGTTAGAAAAACTACAAACGTGGCAGATGCGGGCGATCGACGGTTAGGTAGAGAGGTTTACAAAAAGAGGTTTGAGTTACTAATTATCAACATTTAACCTGGTAAAAAATATTTATTTATTGTTATCTGTGTTATATTTCATCTGCAACAGCAATGTGAACTTTTATAAACATCCATTTGGTCGTTAACTTTTAAATGCATTATTATGCAGAAAATATGAGCAGAGTTCTCCGCATTGAAAGACTGGCAGATCAACGAGCTACTTCTTTTCTCTTCAGTACGGTAGGAAGTTGAATTAAATGAAATGTGGAGGATGTTAACTGTGACAACATGATTGACAGGCCAGTTTACAGTGACAGGGTGCGTGTATCTATGTGACAGAGCAGTCCTTTAAAGACGCAATTGTGTGACGTGATAGTATGTCCCAAAGCGTGCCTACTCTTCTACTACACTCTCAAAAGTGTGTACTTTTTCTTCATCAAAAGAGTACATACTTTAAGGGTGTAGTATAAGTAGGCACATTGAGACGCAGGGTAAGACAAAGAAACACATGTGATTAATGAAAACAAACTGAAAGTCCACAAAAGCAAACTAACTGAACATAACTGTGGC